GCTAGACCATCATGGAAAACTTAGAAGCACTGGATGGCCGTTTCGTCCTATTGTGGGAATCTTCAGCATTTTATATAGTCATTGTAGTATTGAATTCAAATACGAAAATTTTAATACTTTCTAATGTTAACTTTATAAAATTAACCACCAATTGACAATTACAAATTTTATTGGATATAAAAAACAATTGAACTGAATAAAACATAATCGGATATCTTTTTCTTTCCTTTTTTTCCGAAACCTTTCACATGCCTATCTGAAAGCGCATATATATTGTTTTTATTCAGTGGAATGTACTAAATTGGTTCAATAAATCTGACGAAAAGTAATCTGATATTACAAGTTAATAAATACTGAAATTCACAAAGTGTTACTATTAAAACTTATATCACTAATATGATCTTATCATTCACTTTAATGGTGGTTAATCAATAAATTCGTACTATTTTATCCATACTTGTGTGTGAGAGAGAGAGAAAAACCTATATTTATCACTATCACATCAGATGAATCGATACAATAAAATATTACTGATACATACTGTTATAGAGTTTTAGAATTAAAGAGAATTGTTCGCTTCACAATACTTGATATTTTGTAGTGAAACATTCAATTTTAATAATTTTTTATATGGGGTAGTTTACTTAAGTTAGGCCAATTAAGTATATATGTTCATTTGCTAAGCCACTGCTTAGTAATTAAAATAGTTTTTAACTATCTTATTGTAAACTCAATCTTTGTGTCACCGTTTTGAGTTTTGAAATCTGAATGATATCACTAGTCTTCCACAAAAACAATTATATTTTTTTCTTTCCTTCTGGACCTTTTTTGTTAACAGTTTACGAACAAAATATAAGTCTATGATTATTGTTCACCGATTTATCGCATGGAGTCAATTCATATGTCGGTGGTAACTATTCGAACATGAAGATTAATATTTAATCACTATGATGAAATTTTCTCATATTCATTAAAAAGTTATTGGCTTCTATCAACTTAGTTTTCCAAAACTTAAAAAACAACGTGCTTATTGATTACAGTCCTACTTGTACTCTAGTTATATGGTGATTTTCTTAAATTATTAACATGGTACTACATATATCTTACTTATTTAAATACAACTTGACCTGATTATTTCTTTGCGTAATTGTCAGTCATAAAAACTGATAATCATTTAAGTTTTCTATCTTTAACTCATTACTAACCACTTGTAGTTATTTCTATTCTTTACTCTATATTCAAAGTATATGTAATAAATGTTAAAATGATACGTAATATTTAATCAGTTATTCAAGCGTGTAATTAAAAACTGTAGTAGTAGAAAACGTTTACAAACATTGATATTTCGATGACGTTAGGTTGAATTAGAAAATTTTTATTGGTGAAATAATTATATTTTATTGAACGATTTGGTATAACTGACTCAACTGATCAATAGTAGGAAATCAAAACCATTGAATTCTGACTGATTACTTGAATTGTATCATGGTGATCAAGATACCAGGAGGTTCGTGTTTTTTGTTCGTGTTGAAATTTTGAGTGCTCACTGTTAAAAAGTTAATGTAATTTAAGGACTAGAATATATTCAGGTTAATCTTTTTCATAAGATAATGAAATTAATAATTGATGTTAGTGAAGAATCATCAATTCAGCATAAAAAGGATCTATCTAAAAGTATTGCATCTATGATCTGTGATAGGAAAGTGATTGCTTACTTTTTACTGTTAAATTATTCAAATACGAAATTTTTGAGAAGAAATAAAGAAGTTTCATATCAATTTTAAATTCATTACGTATTTGATAGTCTTATGTTATTGATGCCTTGTAATTCTGCATTATAGATAAATGGAGAGAGAGAAAAAATAGCTTTGATAGAGATATGCACTTACTAATCACATATCCCCTGATCCTTTTATACATTTAAATAAAGCAAGAATAACAAGATTATCGAAAAAAATCACGATTTCATTATATTTGATAGTTTTATATCGGCTGTAAATGGCCGACTTATATTACTAGTTACATCATTTATATTACTAGAATCAAAGTTTTACACAACTTAGCCAATGACGTTTAGTTAGAAAGTCACAGTGAAAAACATAAGTAACAACATATTTAACATAACAGTCAAGTTTCATTAAGATAACAGTGGAATTATTTTTCTATGTCAAAGATAAAGCGATTGAGTTAATAGCAAACCTTATAACAACATAATTTTACCATGGTAACGAGAGGTTACCCACACTTCCACTTTATATCCAAAGGTCAAGCCGTAATTCCACTGATATTGACTCATGACGTTAAATTACAATGTTATTCTTATACTAACTGGGTGATTTAACTAACACTCATTTGTTACAAACTTTTATTATTATTTGTGACATCACCCACTTCTTTACACAACTTCATGTACAACTATTAATCAGTCTCAATGATTATGTTAAATATGTTGTTACTTATGTTTTTCTCTATGACATTTCTAACGAAACGTTATTGATTAAGGTGTATAAAATTGTATTTCTAGTATTATAACTAATGTAACCAATACTATAACTAGCTCATTTACAGCTGATATGAAACTTTGAAATTTACCAATCACTTTAAAATTCCATTATAATGTAAGTGAATGTTAAATCGGTTAAAGTGGGAATGAATTGAAGATCAATAATTCTGGGAATCATTGATATTCATTTTACTATTTACGATGTATATAACACAGAATTTATGTTTGAACTCATGAGTTACCGAGCATTTCACCAATCAAAGGTTACTTATCCTTATTTCTTTCAGGTCACTTCCTTGAGATTCAACCTGTTCGAGTTTCATGTATATCTTTGGAATGTTGGAAATTTAAACATTATTTTGTGCAAAATAGCTTTTATTAAATAAATTATGATTATAATAAATCCATTCTACCTACCGTATTTAATTTATGAATTCATAAGGTTGAATTAAACATATTGGTTGAATAGCAGCACCAATCAAGCCAAATTGATCATTTGAATAAATTATTTTAAATAAAAGATTAATAATGAATGATTACGTAATTTCATTTTTCAATACATATATCATTAGTACTCGTTGTATTCGTGTAATAAATAATGCTAATTACTATATTAGGTGAACATTAAACATTTTGTCAATATAGTAAGCTTGAAACGTTTCACAAAATGAATAAACTACTGCCGTTTTTCACGTATGATATTCAGATTTTTACATGTTTAACAATATTACTAGCCTAATCGACTTATATGGACTGTAGTGCAGGTATACAATCAAACCATACCACGTTGAAAGCAGCGGTTCTCGTCCGATCACCGCAGTTAAGCAACGTTGGGCCCGGTCAGTACTTGGCCTCCAAATACCCTGGTACGGCCGAAAGTGGGAAGAGTCCGCTCTCCCTCTCCAAATCCTCTCACATAGCCACGCGTATATAGCCTCTACTAGGCAAGTCCTACTCACTGCCTTCTCGTGACGGGGCTGTTGTTTACGAAAATGAGAGGACGAAAAGAGAATATCCAGCGCTTTAACCAGATTCCAAACCAATGGTGAACATGAGCTCCAGTATCCTACAGGAACAAATGGTGTATGAACCAATTGTTGGTCACCGGCTTCCATGGGACTGCATCTCCTCACGATGCTCCACTGCCTTGTGGATCAGACCTTCAGGTCGAAGGTTTGGGTAGTGGCCTCCTAAGAAAACCACCTGTTTCGGTTTGGGCACCCGAGCGGTATCACAACCCTCACACATATCAAATGAGATTTGTGTGGTGCATATGTATTTGGTACCTCCTTGTACCAATATCTATGTGTTAATATAAATAATAAAAAAATAAAACATTAAAATAGTATACACTATTAAAAAGAATAATGAGTTATGTAAGCTCTTAGTTAGAACATTAATTCAACGAATAAACAAAAAAACATTTACAAATCCATCGTATAACTTTATTTCTTTTCTAAAATAAGATTCTTATATGATTGTGGTTTTATTAAAACTATCTTTTGATTAACATGAAACAAATATAAACAGTATAGCAGTTTATTATATATATAATTATATAGTTACTACATTCCAATGAGTAGACCTTGTATTTCTGACATTTCGTGACTTAATATAAGCCATTTCTTCACAGTAAATAAATAACTGAATTCAATTAATACAAGTTTAGATAGTACAAATGAAACAATATAGAAACAGTTTTATCTATTGAATTCATCAACTAATTGAATTATTATCATATTGATCATGGAAAATATTACACGTAAGCAATGGATAACACTTATTTCTCAATTATTATTATTCTTTTTCGTTTTATAATAACCACACATTCTGTCCAGTTTGATTAGTCATCCCTTTTCAGTATATTGATATTAGTCGAAATATATGTTTACATATATACTGTCTCAATTGTTGTTTACCTTTTAATTTGTTGCTTTACCTTTGCCGAAATATTAGGTAGAATTACATTTCTTCTTAGTATAACATCTAGTTGAATTATAGTTTTGCCAATGCTGCTCCTACTGTTGATGATGTTATTTGTATATTCTAATTTGAAGAGTCATTTATGTGTTCGCTTATTTATTAAGTATCAATCACAGCTTGATATATATATATATATATATATATATATATATATATATATATATAGGAGTGTTAAAAATTCAGAAAAACTAGTAGATTCATTGCTTTCCTTTTTTCTTCCTCTCTTCCTGGTGCGCAATAGGTTCACGTGAATGCTTCACTCTGCGAAAATTCGTCAATGTGTAGGTGTGCTCGCAGAAACCTAGATAAATAAACAAATAAATATAAACACATACGTGTATTATACTCTCTTCTTCATTTGAATTGTCCTCGATTCTCTCTTTTATATTAAGTTCGGTTTTTATTTCTGTTATGCAGCAATTATATGTTTCTTTTGGTTTTCCTTCATATGTTGATCTTCACTGGATTGTTCATCCGTTTACAGTTTTCTTCTTTTATTTTTCTCATATTTTAGGAAAATGTTTATCGGTGGCCTCAGTCCTACTACAACATCTGGTAAGTTGAGTCTTCCTACAACTAATACCGGATATCTATTATGTATGTGTTTGTATTTATTTGTGATGTAAAATTATCTAGTTCTCCTCTTCTCCATTTTCCCTTTATTTGTTAAACCAAAATGTTGTCGTGGTCTTCTTTTTTTTAACCGTTATTGTTATTGTTAAAGGAATCCTATCGACAACCAATGCTTCCTTGCTTTTCATATCTTATATTCTTTCATATGTATGTTCATATTCTCATCAGCATAATGTCGTAACAAACCAAGGTAAATAAAAAAACCTACGTACGTTTGTTGCAAAGTAATCTGTTTTTAAATATATGGGTCTACACTGTAGTTTTCTTTAAACCTTAGATGCGAATCTTACATAGGCTGCAAAAAAGGGTAGGATGTAGCCAAAATATTGGTAATGAAATCAGTATTCTGATGAATTTAAGTCAATTCTGACATGAAGGATCCAATAATCGTAATAACTGGAAGCAAATATATAGCCTGGAAAAAACAATTTTAATCTCTAGATTTCAAATTAATGACAATTTTTAATCCATCACTCGATATGTGAATGTAAGACCACTTTTCTGTATGAATTCATAATGTGGTGTGTGCTACTTATATTGACATAAGTAGTATATGATGTTATCCCTGAATAGAAGGTCTGGTAGCAGAGAGACAAGAGGATCAAACAGTAAAGAATCGAAACAGAATGTAATTTCTATGAAAATACGAGAACAATCAGGTCTGAGTCATTTTGAGACAACTGGTGGACATTTTGCAAATTAAGCATTCACTTTGTGATAGATTTTATTAACAAGTCCTGTAATTTTGTGTTAATTACATTCGATTGTCCCCACTAGCGTTCATGTTCACTACAATAACAACTGAAAAGTGATGAATGTTGATCTGGGAATTATTCATCCCCTATAGAAGAATTACACTGATTCATCCTCAGAGTTAAGAGAACGAATATCTCGCAAATATGAACAAGAATAAAATGCTTTTATAAGTTCATAAATAAAATAATTATAGCTGTACACTTTGAAAATATACTTTTACTTAACATACATGTAAAAACATCACATTGATAATGGTAATCCATCAGCATAATCTATTGTGTAGGTTAATCTTGAACTGTTTTAGGTTACTTAGTGCAATTTCGATCTCATTGGTTCAGCTTCATTCATTCTTTATCTTCGTTCAAATCTTGAGTTAAATGTCATTCATAATTCCTCTATTCTATTTGTTTCATTTGATCCATACATTTTAAGAGTTCACTTCGATTGCCGCTGAATCTAAGTGATCCTCTTTACTTTTCATCCTATTTGTTTTATTTGTTGCCTTACAAATGTAAGATAGAACAGCTTGAACCGATACAAATTCGTCCAAGGATCTACATTTGTATTGATTAATCAATTGATTGAAAGAAGAGTTTCAAATAGCAAACTTCTACATTATTTTTCTATTGGTTTTATAAAAACTGGTAGAATAAAGAGTTTTAATCTTTTACTTATGCCAAAACCCACCACAGTAACTGAAATTGTAGTTATCTATTTGCAGTTACCTGACAAAGTATTATTTCTCTAAGAAAAATTAAAAAAATAATTGTTTTACGCGATAACCATTTTGACTTTCAGGGATACTCAGTCACGATTATTCTTACTTTTATATGGTTAATATGTTTTATGAATTTTCTTTTCTGTAAGTAAAGAATATTGAACATGGTTTTATGAAACATTTGTACAAATGTCATAATAAGCACTTAATAAGCAATCACCAGTTAATGATAATATTAGTAATAATATCTTATGTGATTTTGATAGCCGATTGATCACTTTCTATGAAGAAATGAATATTAGGACATTTACCAATAAATAATAGGATACATACAGTGAACTATTATAATCATTAGTATTATTGCAGAAAGTACCAAATTACTGTAAAATCTGATTAGCTATGATAAAGACGAACAAGTTAGAATAGGTAATGTTGATTGACTTTTAATAATAATAATATTTTAGGGTTGAAATCATGAGTTAATTGAAGTTAGACCAACATGGAAAACCTGGAAGCACTGGACGGCCGTTCCGTCCTGGTATGGGACTCCTCAGTTATGCGCACCCACGACCCCGCACCTCGCGGGATTCGAACCCGGGGCCTACTGGTTTCGCGCGCGAGCACTTAACCATTGGACCACTGATCCGGCATTCAACGGTGTTAATGTCTAAATTAAACTAATCCACGAAGTTGCGCCACTGAACACCATTGTCTTCAGTGAGTTCCTATCTCACAACAGACCTGGTTGAACTCCACTGGTAACGACTTCTGACTAGAACTCCAGAAGTATCTCCTGAAGTCAGTCACTAGTGAGCAGATGATTATTATTATCAGAATGGGTTTTGTGGAGTCCCATACCAGGACGAAATGGCTGTCCAGTGCTTCCAGGTTTTCCATGGTGGTCTAGCTTCAATTGACTCATTATTTCAACTTGTGAAATTATAATAATATTTTAGGGTTTTTATGGTGATTGTTAAATATTCGTAGTTTACATCATTGACTGATTTTAGTTAAGCTACCGCTAAAAATCAGGATGCACTAGACATCTATTTTACTCTAGTATAGGACACTTCAGAAATAAACAACCACAACATTACTAGGGATCGAATCCGTCAACTTTAGGAATAATAATCTTCATTTTTGTTTTCTCGCCTTGATATTTTTAATCACTATTATTGTATTTTACTAGCAGTTACCTAGTTATTATTGACTTTATTATCTTGTCTATAGTGTCAAGAGATGCAAAATATTGTTCATACTCAGTATTTTGTTTCTCTTAACGGGAACATATAAGGATATGGGAATTATTTAGTAGTTGAAATTGATATAAACATGTATTCATGAGATTTTAATTTGCACCATAAGTGTCCACTGGTAAGCCTCATTAAAGGTATGGTCATGTAATTAGCTTTTTCAGTCAGATATTAGAGATCCTACCCATTTCTGATGATCGATCTGAACCAAACAAATAATACAGTTCTATTTTACGATGTTGAGCTGGTGTATAATCTCTGGACGTTTTACATCGGAATAATTAAAATATAAACTTATTATGTATCCGTCAACTTTAAAAAGATTTTGTGCTCACCTCTAACACTGACGTTAAAATGATTAAAATCGTCAATTATATAAATTTCTGCTTTGGGTCGTATAGATCCTGACAGAAGTTTAGAAGAACCACTTGGTAACCGGTTCTATCGATGTCCACGAGGAGATATTAAGTTACATATCAGGGATATCTATAAAAATTCAAAAAAGCACGTCTTGTTTGAATCCCTTGAAAGTAATCCATGCTAATTTCTAAAGTTGAGTAGTATTTTAACATTAGAAATTATTGCTTAATAAAAAAACTTATTTTGATCCTTAATGAATTCGAGTGATAATTTAATTACTTTAATTACTATTTATGAACTATAACTTACCATTAAAATATTTTACAGTTGAATTTTTCAAAATTCCATATTTACTTCTCTGCTTACTAGTGACTCCAAGAGGCATTTCCTGAAGTTCTAGTGAGAAGCCGTGACCAGTAGTGTTCAACCAGGTCTGTTGTGAGATAATAACTCACTGATGACAATGGTGTATGTGTCGCTCAATTTCATGGATTAGTTGAAGTTAGACATTAACACCATTAGATGCCGGCTGGCTCAGTGGTCTAGTGGTTAGACGCTTGTGCGGGAGACTGATTGGTTCTGGGTTCGAATCCCGCGAAGCGGGATCATGGATGGGCACCGCTGAGGAGTTCAACGATAGGACGAAATGGCCGTCCAATCCTTCCAAGTTTTCCATGGTGGTCTAGCTTCAATTGACTCATGATTTAACTATTGAAATTACTAAAATCTCCACAAAACCCCTTCCAATAATAAAACAATAATCAATTATTTTCCCATCATTTACTGCTTAGTAAGATGACTAATATTGGAAGATAAAACTATATCTGTCTAATAATCTTTCATCTTATTTATTTTGTTTGGTAACTCTAAAACTGTCTGTTAAATGTCAAAAGTTCATAATTATCACTATCATGGTGATTTCGTTGTTATTGATGAAGATAATTTGTTTATTCAAAGACATTCAAAGATTTATTAGACATTCTATACTATATATGAATATATTACTTCTAATTATACAATGAAAAAAAACATACAAGAAATCAAAAGTGGGTAGTAAAATTTATCTTAATTTTACTAAAGACTTTTGCTGGTGTTGGGCTCACTTAATTGAAAAACTTAACTGACAAATCTTAATTGTCATTCTGTACAACATCTTCAGCATTAATTTATTTGAAGTAGGCTTTGATGATGTCATTTATAATAATAACCATGAAAGCCTTACAGCTAGACTTTTTAACTCAGTGACCGTAAATGCATTGATATTCTTAAACATGATTTTATTTAAATATTCATTATTTCATGACACTTACTAACATAATTCTTTGGTAGAATCTTTGTACAAAAATAAACTTTAGTGATACATTTGAACACTAAGTATACTTTTAATCAACAATACACATTTTTTCAAATTATTTTACTTTGTAGAGGGTTTACGGGACTATTTTCAAAAATATGGTGAGCTTAGGGAATATATGATTATGCGTGATCCTCTTACAAAAAGATCAAGGTAAAATACAGTGTAAAATATATTTATATCTTGCTTATTTGAATATTTATCTTTATACTTATCATGCATTTATGATTATATTACTAATAGTGTATCTTTGCAGTCTTCAGGTTCCTAAACAGATCAGTGAAAATGATCAGGAATGAATATACAGTAACCATATCTCAAAATCTGTTATAGCATTATATTTTATTACGATCACAAGTCGATCTCAGTTAGATAGCCATTGAAAACCAACAAACTTTGAAATCTGACTTTTCAACCATTTCCCTATTTAGGTAAATTTGAGCTATATAAAACAAAACTTTTTTCCAAACTAATTTTAAGTAACAGTTTTCGTAACACAGAATGAAATAGAAACAAATTTTTGAAAGAGGAAACATGAATTCTATTGATTAATCATAAAAATAACCTTTTTAAGTAAAACTATGAATAGTGATTCACTAATTTATTTATTTGATCTTCATTTCTTTTCTTATAGAGGTTTTGGATTTATTACATTTTCTGATCCAGTATGTGTGGAAAAAGTCCTTGAAACAGCTCCACATATTTTGGACTATAAAAAGGTATTCTTTAAAGTTTCTGATCAGATTTTTTTGTCATTATAATAATTTGAGTAAGATAAATTATTATAACGTTTTATGTTGTTCATTCTTAAGACAATGGATTTGTAAACGGTTTCAGTCACTTGAAGACCAGATGTAAATATTGCAGCAGAGTATACCAGTTTCCATCCATCTTAAATTAGCATAAAATTTATGTACAGTAGACATCATTTTCATCAAACCCTAGGTAATTGAGTATTATTTTGATCATAACTGACTGAAATAAATAGATCTACGTTAACTTACGTTAACTTGCTCGCGATATCTTGTTGTGAACTACATACTCTAATCACTGTAAATATGATCATAAATATTTGCATGACGTGTTTAATGATGTTTGTTTGACAAACTAAATAAAGTCAGGTGCTCTTGTTTGATAAATAATATTCTCCATAGTTCAATAGATAAACAGTTACCATTGACGAGATTCCTGATATTAAAATTGTAAGTATTAGTAATCTTGGAACATTTGTAACCAGTTATTTAATGCTTTTTGATTTAACAGCCTTTCACATGATTCTCTTTCTAATTTATACTATCTTTAGGTTAGATATATGTCTTATGAGTCAATTATGTCATAAGTTTGTAGTAAACTTTCTACTACATTTTCAGAAATCCTAATATACTACTTTATTATTGTTATAGCCACATTTTATAAGCGTCTATGTTGAAAAGTGTTTCTGAATAAACTTTATACATAAATTAATTAACTGATTAGTATTTGAATACGTTCGGATTAAAGATGATGTGATTGAATGTAACAATGTTATTCACAAACCTCCCACTCATAGAGACTGTGGAATATATAGGTGAACAATTGATTTAAAATGAAATTGAAACTATTGTTCCTATTATTGTTGTGAGAGTTATTACTCAAATGCACCATGAAGTTCAAATACTAGTCTTTCAATATGATAGGGATCTTGAAACAATTAATTAATTGTTCATAAAAAATCTAAGCAAATATCAACTATTATTGAATTGATCCAAGCAGCTAATTAACTTGCATAATTCAGATTTTCTCCTTATCTTTTAAAGTTTCTCTTCAATAAATATAATATCTGACTAATGGTTTATTCTCCTTTTAAACAGTTAATTAAGAAGAATTATTATTCAATGCACTATGTATATCATAAATTTTCTAATATAATAAACTATCCAAACCATAAACTATGAAAAATATTTTTATTACTAAACTATTTAATTGTAATTTTTTACATTTATTTTTGATTAATTTCTGTTTGTTGCTAAGGTAAAAAAAACGTAATCTGTTTATAATTTTAAATAAAGTCTTTACTCTATGGATAACTGTAAAATGGTATTACATTTCTGTCATATTAAGATGTATAACAGAATTATATTCATATATATATATTGACAAAATATGTGAATATTATAAACAAACAGAGTAGATTTTAGTGAAGTTACAGTTTTTTTTCTTGTTATGATTTAGACGTAAGGATAAGATTTTGTATTTAGGTATTCATACATAAATATTGATTATATAAGAGATTACTTCCTTGTTCATTATATTTTTAAAGCAATTAGTCCCTTTTATAAATTTTGATAGAACAATGAGAAGATCAACTCAGATCAACTTCGTCTTCTCATTATATTTTTCTTTTAAATTCTTTTATTCCAATTACTTTGACTAATTATTTTAGTCAACATAATACTCAGTCAGTTAGTCAGTAACAACGTAGAACCTCGTACGTACATCAGTTCGAGTTGCCACACCACATTAGCACAGAGATACAATTGTCGATTCAAATACCGTAGTGGTAGAGGTAATAAGAGTATAAGCAGTAATCGGGAAGATTAGGGTTTGGAGATGTTATTCAAGGAGTATAATCCAGTGAAATAAATTTGTAAAGAGGAAAAAAGGGACATGAAGAATTCAGAAGATTAGAATTTGGGAGAACACAAAGAGTGGATGCACCTGCGCCATTGCAAACGATTTTGAGCCATGTCGTTCAGGGTCTCTAACCATCGGTTGCTATCATCTCGCGGTCCCCAACCAGGTAGTCTACACCTATCAACATGACTCAGTCCACTTGTTAGTGACTTCATGGATTTGTGCCATGTTTTGGTTTGGCCGCCCCTAGTTTTCTTCCAACTTACTCCTATACCATTGAACATAGCACGTCGAGGCAGTCGGTCGTTGGGCATACGTAACACGTGTCCCAGCCATCTCAACTGACGAAGTTTCATTACTTCATGATGCTGCTAAATACTGTTGTAATATATTTATAGTGAAATTCTGGAATGTGAAAAAATATATATATATATTAATCAAGTGATGAATAAACAGGTCTCATTAAAAAATATTATGTTGATAAATAAAGTGTAGAGTTTATATGGTTCAAAGGAATATGAACTAAGGTTTATTACTAGTCGGGTTTCGTGAGAATAGTATCTTCTGTCCTAAATTAACTAACACTTTTTATATCACTTAAGATGGCTTCTCTTAGTATTGGGGTTAATAATATTACCGGTGAGATATTTAGCCAGCCTATAAACTCTTGAAGGATTGCAATATATACATTACGTAAAATGGTATACAATCGTGATTTATTTTCATTCATTTAAATATTTTTGAATTATTATCTGAAATTTTAGATTGATCCAAAACTTGCTGTTCCTCGTAAATCTGGTCAAAATACAAAAGTGAGTTAAAATTTCTATCTTAAATATTAATTATTAGTATAATTTTAGTTTTAATCTGCTTGCTTTTCGAGTATTTATATATTTTTTTGTTTGAGATCATGAACTGATTGATGTTAGACTACCATTGGAAACCTGGGAGCACTGGATGGCTGTTTCGTCCTATTGTGGGACTCCTTGGAAGTGCACACCCACGATCCCGCTCGTGGGATTCGAACCCAGGACCAATCAGTCTCGCGCGCGAACGGCTCATGATCTCAAACAAAAAGTTAATGGTTTCCACAATCCTATACTTATAATCATAATGTCCTCACTAGTGATTAGCTTTGTGAGGGTGTTCTCGGAGTTCTAGTGAGAAGCCGTCACCAGTGGAGCTAATCCGTTTCGGGTAGAGACAGGTATTTACCTCAGTACAACGAAAAATAGTTGCGAGATTTTGCGGATTGTTTGATGTTAGACACTAACACCATTGGATGCCGGCTGGCTCAGTGGTCCAGTAGGTTAAGTGTTCGCGCGCGAAACTGAAAGCCCTGGGTTCGAATCCAGCAAGTGTGACCGTGAACACGCACTGCTGAGGAGTCCCACAATAGGACGAAACGGCCATCCAGTGTTCCCAGGTTTTCAATGGTGGTCTAACATCAATCGGTTCATGATCTCAATCAAAAAATTAATAATCTCCACAACCACTATACTGATATTTGTATATTATTTATTACCGTTTTTTTCATTAGCTTATACTTACTTTCATATGCATATGATTTTATATTTGACAATAAATAAAAACTTATCATTATAATATTCAATGATTGTTTCTTGTTTATTTTTACTGGAAAAATATAGAATAAGCTTAATACGATACATATTCGTATACTAAGTGATAGTAGACAACCAAATTATTACCATATTAACATTATTCAAATAGAATTGTGTATCTGTTAATTTATTTAATTTGTATATCCTTTAAGTGATAGATAATTTATGTGTACTAAATCATCATTTATTTGTCAAAAGGTAAACTATAAACGAAGTGCTGTTTTGTTTTTTCTTTACTTTTAATATTAGAACAATATAAATGGGAAAAAATTAACTCTGTTTTTATGATTAGTAAAACTTAAACTAGATAATTACTTTAAAAAAAAACAAAATACAAAACAGTAATTGTCATTCACTTAATGTTACTTATTTATTCTTATCAGATTTCATCTGAGTCTTGAAATTATTCTGAAGCACTAAATTAACCTATGAATAAATCATGTGTAAATTGTATAGGAGTTCTGTCTATCTTATACTTATATTCTTAAATACTTGTACATATATTTGCACTGAAAAATAAATGATACAGGTTATCTATCTAATTGAGATCATGGATGGATCAGTGTTAGATAACTATTGAAAACCTAGAAGCATTGGACGACTGTTTTGTTCTAGTATAGGACTCCCTAGCAGTGGGCATGCACAATCTCTCACGCAGAATTCGAACCCAATACGTTTGGTCTTGCACACAAACATCTAACCTATGGACCACTGAGCTAATATCCAACAATATTAATGTTTAACTTCAATCAATCCATAATATTGCGTGATCGTCTTCTTAGGTTTGAATCCCGCCTGTGGGATCGTGGATGCGCGTTGCTGACGAGTCCTACACTAAGACGAAACGGCCGTCCAGTGTTCTCAAGTTTTCAATAATTTCCTAATATTGATTGATTCATGATCTTAATAAAAACTTAACATTCTCTACAACCATATACTGTTAATTATCTATTTAAATCAAATTATATCGTGAAAAGTCTAATCACATGTTCTTTATTGATAGCAATTGAAAGTCTAGACTGTTTGTTCAATATTCATCAGCATTAATGAGCTAATTTATGATAAAACTACGTACCTCATAAATTACCTAACTTTTACTTGTTCACTTCTCACTTAATATAAAAAGAAGTAAATCTTTATTTGAACAATACTTTTTTCCAATATACGAATACCTTTAGTTTCATGTAATAAAAAACACAGTTTTTTCTTATCACAAGTTAAAAATATGATTTCTACCAGTTATTAAATTCTAACAATGAACATTACAACAACAAGGAGGTTTTTAATTTTAGGAAATTTTTCGTTACACTTAACTATTCTATCTAGAATATAATTTTAGTGTTAAGTGAATTGATTTAACTACAGTCCAGTGAATTTCTTCGTTCTCATTACGAGTTTAACTTAAATATTTGTCAGCCAAAATTCCATGATATCCTATTACCAGGATTAGGTACTGCTTTAGAAAGTTATTAAATACTGTGCAGTAATTTACAGGTATGACCATTCACTTCAAACGCCAACAATAAAGTACTGAGCGGTCACACAGCAATTCGATCAATAGGATTTACTTACTATTTAGATTTTCGCACAACATTAGTTGCTACCAAGTTATTTGTGTAATTGCTTTTGGTAATAGAATCATTTTCCGATCCAATGGTAACTGTAGCATTGATTCAATGAATAAAATTTTAACATTGGAAATGAATTGTTGTTTTGAGTCTGATATTATTTTTATACAAACACAAGAATGACATTCGCGACATTTCCTGTAAATAACTTTAGCTGGAAAAAACCAAGTAAATCTTGTAAATCTGCACAGAGATTTCGTCAAACACGAACTCATCAGGACGACTTCCAAGACAAGTGATGTGGTTGATGCGATTAACTACTTTACTCCTTACCATTATTTTAATAGTTGACTCAGTCAAGTATTTCAGTAAGGAGAAACGTACCTCAAGAATGTTTGCTTTGTTCCTCAAAGGGATCAGAAAGCTCTGCATCTTTTCAGCACTCACCAAACCGAACTAAATTATCTGGGTATTCTTTGTTAACAAACATACATCCTGACAAAAGACCAATTCTTAGAAAGTTAGCTGACGAGATCTTTAATAGTTGGGGCAATAGATCGTTATGTGAAATCCTGACTCTATTTTCGTATAGTTTTAATCAGACTATATGGAATGTATTGGGGATAGAACAGGTTTTACGTAAAGAATCACTCAACATTACAATATAAATGATGTTCAAAATGTTAACCTTCAAAATCTAATTCTATAGTTGAATCTGTAAATTATCACACTTATATTTGATGATAATTGTTCCTGCTTATTGTTTCGAAGGTACTTAATTTACTAAACTAGTTATTTCCCAACAAATTCACGTAGATACATGTTTTTTTCATACTGACATATTTTACCGATCACTAATTCGTTACTTATACTAATTATTGACTATTATGTAAATGCTATTTAACTATAACATTCACTTAGTTCTAATAAATATGTTGTGAAATTCACCTGTGGATAACCTAATTTTACGTTATAATGTATTTTACATTATGCACAAACTACCATAAAGTGAATGAATTACCGTGGGTAAATTGAAATGTTATAAAAAAAGAGTTTAAAAAGATAATTTAATTTAATTTTCAGAAAAGGAATTATATAATTACACTGTATGCCGTAGTGCACCTGATTGCAGAAACATTAAATTTAGTAACTGTATAGAGAATAGAGGTTTAATGACCGAAACACTCAACTACGATTCATAAGGTTACGTATTCAAACCTTATACTAACTACTTGAGTTTGAATGGTTACACTAAACTTCAGACAAACACTAAGTTTCTAAACCGAGGCCAAAATGTGTTACACGAATCGTTCACAAATATCAGTATATGATACTCACCTTTAAAACTCTAAACTTGACCTATATTGTATTTAGAAAGTAATGTTTTAGTGTTAATTCGATAGGCTTCAATTTAAAGTCTTACTATGAACTAATGCCAACTAAAGAATCAGCCAACACTAGAGATCATGAGATATTTGATTCATCCTAATTTAATAATCCAACATTGAAAATGTATGAAGGTGGAGATGCTGACAGAAACATAATTATCAGAAGGGGTTTGTGGAGATTTTGTAGTTGAATTCATAAGTCATTTGAAGTTAGAACACCATGGAAAACCTGAAAACACTGGATGACTGTTTCATCTTAGTATGGAACTCCTCAACAGTGCGTATCCACGACCTCACTCCGCGAGATTTGAACCCAGAACTTATCAGTTTTGCGCGCGAACGCTTAACCTAACATAATTCATTGTTCTTCCTCTGATATTCTCTTATATATATATATATAAACTATCTCATAAAAAGACTAGAACGCAACCTATCTGGATAGTTACAATGAACATTAAAGTAGTAATAATAATATAATCTGATTACAATCGGAATAATAATAATAATAATCTTCATATCTTCTCAAGTTTATATTGGTCATCTATTGTTATTTCATAATTTCATATTTAGACAATTACAATGTATACAGGATGATACTCTTTAAATTTATTCAAATTACATAACCCCATCTATCAGTCAAATATTTACATGTTGTATTTATGCTCAATTGAAACAAACATCCAATCATCTTTCATTTAGAAAAAAGAAGTAAAGAATAACAATGAATAAGTAGTACGAATCTATTTTATAAATCTGAACACCACCACCAACAACAACAATAACAAAAACTCATCAAATATTTTGATGATTCAAACATCATTATTATTTGTTTAAGTTAATTTAGCACGAATCAAAAAGTCATTCTCTCGTCAATATTTTTTTTCTTATGATAATTAATTTTGACATATCAATTGAATAAACTATTAATTACTATGGTAACTTGGTGACCCTAGATAAACAATATGTAATAAATTAGTTATTAACTCACACTTTATAATGGTGAAACGTTTGTTGTGTTTTTTTTCTTTGTTTCGTTTTGTTTCGATTTTTTTTTCTTTTCATTTCGATTGACATTTCTGCTTTTATCTAAAGTTTTATGATAAGTTCAATCATTTCATTCATTGGTTAAGCTGGTGATTGTCGTAGAAGTAACAAATTTTTTTTATTTATAAAACAAACAATGTCAATGTTTTGTCTAGCTATATGTGAGATGTTGTTTTGTTTTGTTTTTAAG